TCGGAAGATAGCAGAGGAAGAGACAAAGCAACCACTAAAAGTTGATGTTTGGAAAACCGCGGAGTCAACTACAACTACATGAAGTTGATGTTTTGATGGCGCCTTGTGAGCGGTTTTACTTCTCAGGTTTCTGCTATTTGGAAAGCATCTATATTTCTTTTTGAGTTTTGAGACATTTTTAGGATAATGGAGCTTAGGTTTGTATTGAACAGTTCGTGTGTGATGAAAGAAGTGGTATGAGATTAACTAAAATCCAATCCTGTTATAACCTGTACACTCCAATTCAATTGCCTAATACTCTTCTATCCAATATTATCCAATCCTCACACCACCAAATAAGCCTCAAGTGCCGAAAATAATAAAGAGCACGAGAGTTTTTGAAGCTTTTGGGAGTCGAAACGATTTCACTAATGACCTCAGATGATTATAAGCCTCAATCACCAATAGAATGGACTTCAAGAGCAATTTTCTTGATTTCTTACCGAAACTTTGCCATTTTTATTTATGAAATTTTACATAAAAAAGATTTCTGACTGGTGCGTAGAGAGTTTGCCTCAGAAGAACCCCTATGTTCCCAACCTTGAGAGTCTCAACGAAGGCCTTGATAATAAACAGAGCGAGTAACAGTTGCTGGGAATTCAATCAAATTTTCATCCAACACGGTAACACCATAATCATCATAAAATAATTCCCCCCGTTTCTTTTTTTTTTTTTTTTTTTTTTTTGGGAAGGGATCAATTTGTAAATCTCATCTGCGCACACACATCTTATGAGCAATACTAACATCTATTTGCCAGTGTTAATGAGGTTGTAGCTTTTAAAAATAAATAAATAAATAAAAAGTTCTCTTTCGGGAGACAGTGCTACCTCCAAATTATGCAAGTTACTTGACGTTTGAGAGAGCTACATCATTTGATAGAAGTTTTCTGTTTTCACATAGGTTAATGACCAGTAAGGCGCTTTCAATTTTGCAATCGGTACGACAAATTCATAACGAATTAGAGACATCAAAGCATTAAAGGGAGAAATTCCACAAGAATATCACCTAACCATTCACAGAAATGAGAGGCCGAACGAAAGTCTCAACTCCGTAAACAATAAACATGCATAAAAGCCGAGCGTCGGCACAGTTGAGGGCTCGCAAACTTTGCATATAAGAAAAAACAAGTATGAGCACCAGTAAATCTTGTCTTCTGCGTCTGTTGCCTTACAACGAGCATATTATGAATCTAAAAATCTACTTCCAAAGCTTGCGCAACGACATGTTCTTCTCGGTCTCCTTCTTCATTACCTTGGCCACTGCCATCTCAAAGTCTTCTTGCGTCACGTGAACTCTTCTTTCCCTCAAGGCAAACATTCCTGC